CAAAAGCAAGGACAAGGATTTTCAGCCAAAGATAGACAAGCAGGCATAGCATCCATACATCCATACATTCAGTAATCATACATATAATGCAATCGGGACGAAAATCGCGAAGATAAGTGTGAGCAAAACCCCAAGTCCAGATTCCAAAAAGTCGAGACGAAAACAAGAGCGGGCGACCGCCCGGAGCCGCAATCAAAATGTATGTACACAGATGAAGGGGGGGGAGAGACAAAGAAACAGCAAATCCGCGTCCATTGACAACTCTCTCCCCTCTTCTCTCTCTTCTGTGATGCGGATAGTCCGTCGTCACACACCAACCCACGAAGTCGTCACCGCGCTTAGTCCTCCCGCACCCGTCGGATTCGCCCGTGCCCACAGTCCGTCGTGGCCCACGTCAATCCCGCGCGTTCGGCACCAGCCCATCGGGTCGCCCAACTCCCACTCTACTCACCTCTTACTTCGCTCGTGTGCCGACCCTTCCTGATCGTGCAACCTGGAGCTTCCAACAACGGGTTAAGAGAGCTAACTAATCGCGCAACCGAAATTTATAGCGTGCATGCATGCGCGAAGAACACAGAATTACCAAGACTTAGAGGGGAGATTAGCGAGGGAGCGCCTACATTCTGCATGACCGGGCCGCGGCGTGGGGGACGTAGCCACTCTCCACGCATCGATCTGAGCATGCAGTCCGTAGTTTCAAAAACGCAGCAAAGAAAGGAGGGCGGGAAGGACGAAGAGCAAGAAGAAAGATACAGTTACAATGGCGCCAACCCAAGATTACAGTTACACACCCGATTAAAGGCGCCGATTAATCAGAATTCCGTTGCAGCCGCAAAAAGAAGCGCGTAAGCAAATAAGGGTGCCGCGCGGCAAGAGAAAGTCCTAATTACAAAATTCCTTAATTCCTAACTAATGCGAAAAGCAAAAGTACCGGTTCCGAGAGGAAAATCCGAAATTCCGAGAGCCATCAGGGCTCGACAAAATTCAAAAAAAAGATTTGAAAGAAAATTTCAAAAAGAACCATGCAAATTCCCGCGCGATGTCCGCGCCCAAAAGATCGAAACCGAAGCGAAAGAAACGACATCAACATTTATTAATCGTGCGCACGGAGGCGCGCCAGCCATCCAGCCGACCGATCAATCAACCGGCCATCCCAGGACACGCCCAGCTCCGAACCCAGCCGAAGAAGCGATGGAAAAGACGAAAAAGCAAGGACACTGATGCAATTTCCCACCGATCCCGATCTCCCGTAATTGGCCCAACCTTCCCAACTTAGGACCCCTTATTGCAACCACGCAGAAAATCGCGCGTTACAGAAAGTGGTTCGTCACAATGTGCCTGACTGAGCTGCTAGAAGAAGCCAGCCCGAGTTTCAAACTGCTAAAACGCAGTTTGAAGCAGTTTGAAATGCAATTGAAACTCGGGCCCTGACTAAACTGCTAAAACGCAGTTCCAAATGCAATTACAAACTGTAACCCTGACTGCGCCGTAATTTTCTCTTTTAAAAAAGAAAATAGAATGATAAACCTGCTCCTTAACCCCAGAGCCAGGTGATTTGCAGCCGTCCAGATGCACGCCATCTGCACGGCATCTGGCAATCGACTGTCGTGGCTCTCTCACATGTGATCAGCCACTCTACCACATAACCCGGGTCTTCACCCGAATACAGCGTACCCTCTCCACGAATACAACGTACCTACCTATTTTTCCGGTGAAGTACAGTCGTGATAAGGGTACCACATTTTGTTGGGGGGAACACAGGTACCTCAGCTCCAACTCTTACTTGCCAGTACGAGAAGGCGATCCCCGGGGCTGCATTGTCTCTACAGCGACTCCTACGGTTGGCCGACAAAAACAACAACGGCAGTGGCCTCGGTGGTTATCAACGACAAGCGAGCAAGGAACTACCGGGACACGCAGGTTGGTCCCACAAGTGGCGTTTCGGTTTTCATCAGGACTTGGTCCGCACCATCGGATCTCTCCATCTACGATTACACAATTTCGGCATTTGCCCTCCACCACAGACTGCATCTATCTAAGACGACACTACCTCATTCAACAGCATCAACGGCAGGAGGATTTTTCTTGAGTTTCTCGAGTTGGCACTTACCCTGGCTGAAGCACTGCCTCGCCACCACGGGGGGTCCCAGTGCTCTGCCCAGCAACTGTATAAGTCATGGGGGCCTGCCCAGTCACGACAGCTTGAGAAGTTTCCCGTGCAGCGCCCTCCAGGCCTCGTCCGCTCGCGGCGCTCATTGCCTACGCAAATCTGCGCACACGGAAGACAAGGGTCAAGTCACGCAGAGGCTGAGTCGTTCTCCTCGCCTTATTTTGGCGAAGCAGCCCCGCCCACCCTCGATCTTCCCACGGTGTGCGGGCCTGCGGCCCACCTCCCTGACTCGCTTCTGTGCAATCTGGCATCATCTCTGGTTTTCTCTTTACTATTATTTTATAACATTTACCTGGAACAGGACCTGGCCAAGGTCCCACTTACACGAATTAAGAGGTCAGATACATTTGAGACCGTAGATAGCAAAGATCAACGACCAGCATCTCTTAATCCGTGCAAGTGGGACCTTGCCCCCGGTCCGGACTCCCTGCCTGCCTGTCTGTGTGAGTCAATGGTGGTATAGGGCCTCCCTCCACTGTACTGTCCGAATGTGCAAAACGAGAGTGAATCTTCCTCTACAACGAGGAAAGATACATGGCCG